CGAGGTGGCAATTTGGGTGCGGCCTGGAAGGCTCTGGCTCCAGGGCTGGGCCGGAAGAGGGCTTCTGAGAAGCAGGATGGTTCGGGGGAGCCGTGGGGGCTGCTGCTCTGCTCAGCCCACCGCTGGCCTCTTGCTCGCTCTCCTCCAGACCGGCTGTGCCCGGGTGGACAGTGCTTCTCTTGCCAGGGCTTTCCCTCTGCCATGGCTTCCCTGGCCCACAGTCCTGACTCCAAATGCAAAAGGAGGAGAGGGAGAAGAGGAATGAGATGGGTGCCCAGAGACGATGACGGTGGGCAAAGGGGGAGGAGGAGGAGAGGAGCACGGTGGGACACCGGCGCGGCCTGGCCCTGGGGCTCTAATGCTCCCCACTGTGTGCCGGGGTGGGCCCTGAGGTGGGGGAGGGAGGCTTGGGCTGCCTCAAGGGTCTGAGGAGGGTGGGGGTCAGAGGCCACTGGATGGCAGTGAGGGCAACCGGAACTCAACCACCTGGATCACCTCTTCCCTGGCAGCCTGAGGTGCTGGTGGCTGTGCTGTCTTCCCCCAGGTTGATGATTCTGTAGGCACCTCCTGGGAGTCACCTCTCTGCCCCCAGGGGCTTCTGTCAGCCTGGAGCAGGCTCAGGGCAGTGGGAGGCACCTTAGGAGTGAGGCTGAGAATCCCACCCACCACCTGCACCTGACTCTGCTTTGGCTCCTGGGCTCCTCCCAGCAGGGGAGCAGGTGTGGGTGGGAAGAAGCCCACCCACAGGTGAGGACCCGTGATTTGGCTTAAATAAGCTTCAGTATTCTGTGGGACCACGAGTCAAGGGGGGTTACATGCCTGGCCCAAGGCCGTATGGTAAGCTGGTGGTTGCAGAGCAAGGCCAGGCCCCTGTAAGGTGTGGGTCCAGGCCGTGAGTCCCAGGCTTGCCCCGTGTGTGTGCGGTTGTGCACTGGGCCTTGCTATGTGTGCCACTCTGGGGTGGGGGTAGGGTCACTGCTGTTGGCCTCTGAGGCTTGGGGATGAGCCCCATCCAGGGGCAGGCACCTTCTTCCACCCGTTGTCTGTGGGAGCCCTGGCTGGTTCCATTTTTTCAATCCTCATGTGACCAATGAAAGGCCACTGCTTCATGCTCTCTGCCTTAAGGAGCAAAGCAGCTAGGGCTGAAGGCAGGGCAAGACACATGCTTCTTACCGTCCCCCAGCCCCCAGCTGCTCCCCCCTGCCCACATCATACATCTCTGGAGCTGCCCATATCTACTTTAGGGTGGCCAAACCCCTAACCATGGCCCGTCTTACCTTCCAGTTACTTCCTCTGAGGAGATGGTCTCCAAACAGCTCGTCTGGTGATGGTGGGTCCAGGGGATCCCCAGCTTGAGTATGAATGGGAATCTTTGGGGGTTCCATCCACCCCAACTGTCCCCAGCCCAGAGGCCTGAGGATGTGGGGCCCCAGCACTCAGTGCTTCTTGGAACAGGGCCAGTAACCTTGGTTCTCAAGGGGCTGGCTGAGGCCTGGGTTTGGCTCCCTAGGGTTGGCAGGGCCAAGGCTGGAGGGCCTAGTGGGGGGGCTCTTGGGTTGAGTCGGATGTCTGTAAGAGAGGATTCTCGGGGGCAGGAGGGGGCAACGGGGGACAGACAGGCTCCTGGCCCTTTGTGGGAAGGCTGGCCTCAGTCCTTCCTAGTTTGGCTTGGGAAGAGAACGACACGGCTGCTGCCACCTGGTGTGGATGGCAGGCCTGCCTCTGAGAGGGCAGGATGTGAGGTGAGCCTGTGCAGGACTGGGTGTGACACTTCTGAACATTTGCCTGTGTGTGTGTCCTTCTGTGTACGCGTGGGCATGAGTATGGCTGTGTTAGGTCTTCCGTGGGCCTTTGTAGGTGTGTGGGAAGGCAGAGCTTGAGGGCTGCCCTGGGTCTGGGGAGTGATGTGTGCGTGCATGTGTGTGTGTGTGTGTGTGTGTGTGTGTGTGTGTGTGTGTTGTATATGTGGTGTCTGGGGGCAGTGGGCAAGGTCACGCGGTAGAGTTCTAACCATAGCTATGGGTGCGCATAGCTGGTGGGCAGTAGCACGTCTGGGTATCACTGCATGGTGCTCCGAATTCAGGTATCCAGACAGCAGGTCTGCGTGCCCCGTGGGGAAGTGGAGCGCCTGGGTCACGAGGTGGTCACTGACTGTGGCCACGTGGCCAAGGGATGGGCATTCCGACTGAAGCTTGTCGGCTCTCCCCCTTACCCTGCTTGGCTCCCTTGCTTCCCTGGAGGCCCAGCAGAGATGTCATCTGCTCCCACCCTGGAGATCTCACGCCCTCCCCTGCCCCGGACTCCAGTGGGACATCGTCTCCTCACCTCTGCCCTCCCACCCTCCCTACCGGTCCAGGTCCTGTCCCTGGGGGCTGATGTGCTGCCAGAGTATAAGCTGCAGGCGCCGCGGATCCACCGCTGGACCATCCTGCACTACAGCCCCTTCAAGGCCGTGTGGGACTGGCTCATCCTGCTGCTGGTTATCTACACGGCCGTCTTCACACCTTACTCGGCCGCCTTCCTGCTGAAGGAGACGGAAGAGGGCTCCACGGCCCCTGACTGTGGCTACGCCTGCCAGCCGCTGGCCGTGGTGGACTTCATTGTGGACATCATGTTCATCGTGGACATCCTCATCAACTTCCGCACCACGTACGTGAATGCCAATGAGGAGGTGGTCAGCCATCCCGGCCGCATTGCCGTCCACTACTTCAAGGGCTGGTTCCTCATCGACATGGTGGCCGCCATCCCCTTCGACCTGCTCATCTTTGGCTCTGGCTCTGAGGAGGTAAGTGGGCAGGGAGGCCGAGGCCGGGAGGGCACCTGGAAAAGGAGAGAAGGTGAGGGGGTACAGGGGGTAGCTGCCC